GGTGATGTCGGCCGGCGAGCCGATACCGAGAGTCGTCTTCGACGCCGCGCCGAGCTTCAAGGAGGCAAGAGAGGCCACCACTGAATTGAAAGATGCCCTGGATAAGTACATTTCTCCGCCAATAAAAGCCTTAATTATTTTTTCTTCGTTAATTCTGTTTTGCTTTTGTGATTTCTTATTAAAATTTTCTTTTTTTCCAAAGCAATGACGTCCCCTTTTGTATTTATTTGTGTTATGCTCTGTTTCGTTGACGAGAAAAGAGTGCAAAAGAAGCGAATAAGTGCAGAAATGATTGAAATTTATATTTCTGCTCTGTTATTGTCTAAAGATGGTGTTTTTATTGCTTTATTTGAAACCCAAATAGATTTTTGCGAAGTTGCTTGATGATCGTAGGTGGTGAAGATTTGTTTATATGTGGTTTTTGGGGATTATTCATTTGGGATGAAGAAATGATTGGATGGTAAATTGGAGTTTTGCCGTTGGAGTAATGGATGGTGAAAGAATTTAGTTTCAAATAGTTTTTTTTTGTGTGTGAATTATATATTGGTTTTTAAAATTCTAATTCATAGTTCATGAAATTGAAAGTATTTGAAACTAAATTGAAAGTATTTGAAAGTGTTTTAAATTCTAAATTCATAGTTTCTTGTTACGCCAAGCACCACAGAGTTCATGAAATTGAAAGTGTTTGCTGTTGTTGCCCGTTTGTCAGCTTGTAGGTTGATCTATTGTGTAGTCTCATGCTTGAATAAATTTTTTTTTCTCCATCATATGTTCAATTTTCAATAAATGAACTTTCAGGATATATCTGTCTTCACCCAAATCTACTGAATTTGGGGAGCAGTCTGCCGCTGATACGGTTTCTGGGCTGTCTCAAATTACGACCCCTGAACCTGAGGAGGTGGAATCCCTGGTTCTTACTAGGACTTCCGTGCCAAAACATGCTTTTCAGGCATTTGAAATGCTGAGTAGAAGTGCTGAAGCTCAGGTATTTGATTGAACTCCCAACTCATATCCTTTCAAGATGTTATCGCTGTGAACTTGGAAGTTAGTGTATGGCGCTTTTAGCTACCAAAATTCAGTTATCATAGTCTGGCTTATACCATTTGTTAGGGGACTAATTTATTTTTTTGGTTTCATGCCCAGAATGTTGTTGCTTCAATTGCAAGCGACCCAAATATCTGGAATGCTATGATGGAAAATTCTGCGGTCAAGCAATTCTTGGAGTCCAACAAGAACTATAATCTTTATGAGCCTGAATATGCGTCAGATACTGAGTTTTCTGATCCAGTATCACCCAAGAAGCATGAAGACAAAGACAAATCTGATGGTTTTGAAGCTGTGTTCCGTGGTTTTGTGCAGAAAATCAAGCTTACCATGGATAGGTGGGTGGGCGATTTGTCAACTTACATCCAGAATATTTTTCCCTCCCCAGCTGAGAATGGAGATGCAGATGAGAATGCAAATACGAAGACGGTAGCATCTGCATTCATGGGGCTGGCAGTTATGGTTGTTATGGTGGTTTTGATGAAGCGTTCGTAGAGTTCATTATAGGCTGCCTATTTAAATCTGCCGAAAACACAGTCCTTATGAGTGTCTCTGCCTCATGTGCTTGTAGAATAAATAAACTCAAATTTGATGCCGGGAAGTATTGCTATTAGGTTTGCGTGCTGCATATAAGTTTCTTAGCTTAATTGAACGTTTTCCATTTGGGTCGGTCCATTATTGATCCTTGAGGGAAGAGTAGTAAAATGACATGTACAGTTTTGCAGTCAGATTTTCATCATGGTTAGAGGATATGCAAGCTTAATCTTGTGTTTGAACAGAACCATTGAGTGTTTTTTCTTTTCTTTTTTTTTGATCTTTCACTATTTACAAACTGGCAATTCATAGCCTACGTACTTTTACAGAAGAAGATAATTGTTGCTTGGTCATATCAGGCGAGGAAGGTAATTGCTGTGTGGCTCTATGCTGAAGGATGAAGTTTCCTAGGGTTTACAGTGTGTGATTTTAGCATCATGTTACGTCAGAAAATAGAAATGTTTTGCATTCCAACCTCATCATGGATTTGAGATCTATGAATGATGATATCATGTGTATATATCCTTCCTTGAATTACTTTTGGATTAACTATTGTGTAAACTGAATTACTTGTTGAATAAGTAACGCCTCCAAACACTCGAAGAGAACCCTCTTGCAACTCACTCACACATCCATTAAATTATTACAAAAAAATGCATGACGACTCTTTCTAGAGTGCGAATAAAAACTTCCTAAATTGTGAACGATAAAATACGTATTTTTTTTCTTGCTAATGTCATATTCTAATGTACGAGGAAGGGGTTGAACTCGGAAGAAAGGAGGCAGACACATTGTAATGGCAAACTAGTCTAATCCACATCTACGAATAAAACTTGCAATTTATTATACTAGAACAAAGTAAGGAATAAAACATGCGTTGAGGGAAAATAAAGGAAAGTAAAGTTAGCGAATTTGGGGGGTTCAAATACAACCACCCAGTTTTATTCAATTGTTACACTAATCTGATGGTGATGTTACAATTCACCAAACACTCGGTTGGTGGTCACGTTTTAGTAATTAAACTATATTTCTCATCCCAGAGAGACTACAAACTGTTATTTCCTCCGGAGCATTCTTCAATTAAAATGTAAATTACGAATCTTAGATCATTGTTTAAATCTACAAAATTGAGTAATTACATCCATTTCTACAAGTAGCTAGTAGAACAGTGTGGGGAGTTGAGCTCTCTTCCCTTTCCCATTTGGCCAAGCAGAGGCTTCTCCATGCTGCAAAATCATTGTTCTTTTTCTGCTATGAAAATGGATATTTCAGACATTATTGTTTTTCCATTAATCATTGCTGACGTACATTATGTCCTCTTTTGATATATGCATCTTCCCCTTGTCTCTTCTACCGTTTACTTGTGCCCGATCAGGTTGGCCTCGCTGAAAATAACACAGATTTATTCCTCAACACACAATCACACGAATGCAAACACGGACTATATTAACAGCAACAGCGACACCAAAATGGGATTAATCACACAGGTAATTTTGCACTAGGAACATGCACTCACCTTCCTCAAGACAAATGCCAAATACAAATACGCTACTTCCCATTCATCTTGTGATAGCGTGCCTGGATATTGCCAAAGCAATAATGAAAAATCATCAGTACTAAAAACTCATCAGGGGCATTCTAATGACAACACATCATTTTAGTGAATGACAAAATCAATAAGCAGTTGAAACAAATTTGGGTCACAATTAATCCACTGTTTGTATGTAAAGAGGAAATAAAGGGTTACAGGGAATGAACATACTCTGATCCTGGTTACCATCACCTAATGCACCAAGCCTCCGCATTAGCTCCACATATTCTGGTTTTTTCATATACTCGTGCACAAATTCATGTGAGTTCTTCACAAAAACTAGCTCCATATCATACTGCAAAAGGTAAACACAAATTCATGGGAGTTCTTCACAAAAACTAGCTCCATATCTTGCAAAAAAAATTTCACATACCTTGTTCTCAGTTACAAGTAGAAAAAAATTTCAAATAGCAAAGAGTGTTCTTCTGAATGCACTTCCATCACCACTTGTATTTACAAGTAAGATACAGCTTTCAAAAGCTGGTGACATTGATATACAAGAAGAAATTATACCTCTTCTACCAGGGATTTGAAGACATGAAAGGGGACAATCCATTCAGGACAATCAACAGCATCCTGCAAAGAAAATTTATATCAGAAATCATTGGAAAAAAAGTTAAATGGAACCATCTAGCTTAACATTTTAGATACAACCATATATGAACAGAACATATAAATAAACATGTTAGATACCTCCAGGTGAAACTTGTACTGGATACCAAAGGGGCTTGAAGACTTGAATTTCTGAGTCATACATGAAGTAATCGTCAAATTTGGAAAATTTTCAAATCTCGTGTTTTCATAGGTAATGTCTCAGCTTGGAGAATAACTAAATAAATGAAAAATAAAGCACATGAGTGACAACATACCTTTTCAGAAAATTCTTCATCAAATCGTATCCAGTAGACACTATTACCAAAGACCAATCCTTCAGCTGGACATTCACAACGAAAATAGGAACTCAAATCAATAATGACAAAAGCAGTTTGCCATGCCCAAAAATCTTAATGCTAAATATTTCTATATCTAATGAACTTCTCTATCTACTGGGCTTAAAAGAACATTTATTGCTTATGTGAGGGATTTACAGGACTTATGAAGGAGTGTTCCTTGGTTACTCTCCAAAAGAAATGAAAATGTTTAAGGTGTAAAATAGACCTTCTCTAAGCTTTTTGATGATCACATTGGCATCAGGCATTGTTCCAATGAAAGTACCGCCAGGACGAAGTAAAGCCGAGACATTAGCCAAGGCTCGTCGTGCACGTGCTTCAGTAGACCAGGAATAATGCAAGGCAAACTGCAAAATAAAATGTATTTCGATGGTTCTGTTTCAAAGCTTTCTTCCCCTCAAATTTTTAGTTACGTTACAACAGAAGGTAGAAATCTATTAGTGCATGGATAGGCTCACCTGGCAACTGCAAATATCAAAGGGGGCATCATCAGCCAGGACTTTATCCAGGCGAACCTGAAACCATCCACATAGCATTAATAATCATAGGGCATAGAACAACATAGCAGCATTACCACATATGCTGCTGCGTAATGGCTGCTTCTTTGATTGAGTCAAACCCAAGCTCCCTAGGGGCAAAATAACGGTTTTATGAGCAGCTATTATATTTGCAAGTACCTCAAAACAATCTCCACATATAAGGTGGGCGGGAAATGTAAATTTTTTACGGCGTTGATGATGGTCAGCATCGCCATTGTAACGGGTACGACAATCTTCTATCTGTACGTAAATTTGAAAATGGTAATAAGATGGTTGATGGTGGCACACATTTGAAAAAAGTAAACCGTAACAACAAGGCAGACAACAAAACGACTACAGCACATCTTCATAAGGTCTTGAGCAAAAAGAAGTCATTTATTTGTCATCAAGAAAATATACCCATACAAGGAAGATGTCGTGCTTGAAAGAGAAGGATGGTGTTCAGAAAATCCTTTACTGTCGTAAAGACTGAGCAATTTATCACTACATGATGAGGTGCAGGATAATGAAAAACTATGTAATTCACAAGAAAGGCAAACAAGCACACAAAAGACAGAATTTACATGGATTTAAAAAATAGTCCACATCCAGAGGGAGATCAAATCCACTATTGACAATATGGATAAGTTAAAGGTACTGTTGAAACCTCTCAAGTCTCAACTCACGGCCTCCACGGAGCAATACAGCATCATCCTAAACCCTGGACTAGGCCCTAATACTAGAGTTCCCCAAAACTCATTCCTTGATTGACAAGGGAAATACTTTCCTTCCGCACCAAATAAAAATCTAGGAAGTATTGAATAGAAAAAAAGAAACCTCTACAGCATTGATCAGGGCAAATTTGGAAATAGAACAAAGGACTCTTCATAATAGCTATAATGTAGAGCAACTACAACTCTAGTACTAGTGCAAAATTTATGCATTCTGGAAACGTAAGTGAGCAATTGAGTAGCAATACAGTAAAATGGTCCTAGAATCACTTTTTGTACTCCATAGAAAGATAACTTTGATGAAAAGCTTAGACGGCCTCAATCACATCTAAGTTATAAATATATGGAACTATTACGTGAAAGAAAATTGTGAACCAATGAGCTAATTATAACCAAATTTCAGTACTTACTGAGCCTTCAGCGATATCGATGCCAACATAATATCCAATTTTGGCCTTGTCCCATTTGATGAGATCACCCCCCTAGCCAAAAAGAAAAAATATATATTAAAAAGAGAATATTAGTGGAAGGAGGGGGAAAAAGGAAGATGTAATGGACTACCAATACCTTGCCACATGCAAGATCAAGTACAGCATCTCCTCTGCGAGCATAGAGTTGAATTAAGACACTCTTAATCTGCTCAACATGAGAAGGAACTATAAGCAATTGGAAAAATATGGAGTGTGATTATACCATTATGGAGTATCTATGAGATTAAAGGACATACCCAATTGTTAAGCTTTTTTAAATGGATGATTGGACTGGCTTCTCGTTCTTCCAGCGTTTGATTCGTCCTTGCACTGTAATGATCTGCCACTTTACGTGCAAAAATTTTTGTGCTTTCATCTTCCAAGAATTGTGAATCACCTAAGGCCACATTGTAAGAAACTCTGATTAATTAAAAGAAAACAACCTAACACCATTGTTGCGTTCAATATCACTGCAAGTTTTGTACGGAAGAGCAAAAAATATTTCAATATTGAAATTTTCATTATGTAGTGATTGATAAGAGTAAAAAGTTAGCAAAATCAAAATTTAGTTATATTCACCTTCTCTCAGTTTCCACTGTTATAAACCAAATACGTTAGTTGGGGAACTAAGAATCCCAGGTTCGAATTAAACAGCCACACTAATCAGGAACACAACAAATATTGAATGAATTACCAATCGAAAACACAAAATAGAAAACGAGTTCAGACGTTGATGTTCCACTCCCTCTCCCTTCACTTTATCAGCAAAAACTACAACACCCAGATCCAAAAACTCCCAAACAAACCAAAAAGATGAACAATTTACCACAAGAAGCTACAAATCAGAACCAGGGAACAAAAGGGCATATGAGTTTGGCATCACAAATATTACCTTCTGGGTTGGGCTTTAACCTGGATTGAGGTGGCCCAAGAGAGGTGGATGGGGATTCTGAGTACCCTCGTTTCATGGCCAAGGATCAAACTAACACTAGCACACTATCCGGGTTTGCGGTAAATAATCGAATGCCGGCTCAAAATCAGAGCTTGCTATTCAAAAGGCAAAGGAAACAAACACAGACAGCAACGTTTTTCTATTTGTGTTTAGTGAGATGAGAGAGAGACAAAGAATGAATAAGAAGGGTGTTTTCAAAGGCTTAAAAGTAGCTTTGAGTGTTTTTCTGTATCAGATTTTATGCTTGCAGGCTGCGTGGGCCTAACATCACCTAATAATACTAGGTGTATTTTGTTTAACGTGGTATGGTGCGTATGTGATTTTTATCCTAGGTTGAATGAAGTTGGTCTTTGCTAGGGCATGGTTTGGGTTGATATGACACCGTTGGCGCATATGATCAAAGTAACAATCGACAGCCGCAAACTCACTTATACAGTGTGTTTTGGTGATGCTTTTGATTCGGTATTTCGATTCATGATTTCTCTCATTCTTATTAAGTACTCAAATCACACACCGAAACTATGAAAATTATGATTGAGATTGATTTAATTCAAATCTCAAAGTAGTAACATAATTGACCGGTTTGATCAACTTCGATTCATGAGAAATTAAACAAACATTCTCTATGCTCTATCATAGAGGTATATCGTATGAGTTTAATGTTGTCGTTGAATCTCTCTATATTGGTTGTAACTCTTTATAAGTAGTTGTCATTGCTCTTGTGGCATGATTTATGAATACAATCTCATTGTCATTTGTATTTAAAAAAAAATTATACGAAATAATGAGCTTAGTTGCATATAGATTAAAACTCCTATAAGTTTGAGTCATGAAAACCATTTTCTATTTTTATTTTCCTAAGCAATGAGAAATTACTCAAAACATACTCCACATTAGGAAGAGAATATTTGAGCAAGAATTGTTCAAAGAGGGCCATATTAGAAATATAGAAAAAATAAAATTCAAGGTTCTATTCTATGTAGTTAACTCAAAATAAAAACCTTACAGAAAAAAAATAATAATAATAAAAATCCAAAATATGAACAATCCGTTTTGAGGGTCTCCCAAAATATGAACCAAACAATAACAGCAACACAAAACTACAAAACTAACGACAGCTACAAGTTAACAACAACAGTATCAGTGGAGGTTTCTCGCTCTGTCTTCCTTCCTGGAATCTTAGCCTCCGATGATTCCGACTTCACTGTTTCAAATCGTACTTCGCCTCTTGGAGCAAAGGCCGGTATGCCATTCTCACTGCGCTCTTTAATTCCTTCTCCAAAATTTATGTGCTTTTTTTTTTTTTGGTTTCCCAAAAAAATATTAATTATTCCAAGCTTTTGCAATTGGCATGATAATTCATGGTCCCTGGCTGGGGGTTGTTAATGTTAACCCATATGCTCCCTTTGCTTTAGCAAAGCGCCTGTTAAATATGCAAGCTT